TATTCAATTACAATTAAAGAGTCCAGCTGCACACTAACACAAATGTATTTCTGTAACGTTTCGTCCGACCAGAGTCAGACTTCCTCAGACAAGCAGTTTACAACAAACAACTGTTTAGGCTAGTTGCAAAAATCACCCGGCATGAATCACATTGTCAGGCCATAACATTTAGTTATCAGGCATAGTCAACCGAAGCTAATAAAATCAGCATTCGGTTCTTAGTTTCCTATGACGCCAAAAGTGTTAGCATATATTCCCGACCAAAACGATAGAAAGCCAGATAACAATTTAGACTGCCAAGCACATCATTCAACTTTGCTAGTTGCCTCAGCGAGTCATAACACTAGTTACTTCAGTGACATTAGTGATGTAACAATAAGTCAAAAAAAAACTCTCGTTAATTTTATGACAAAACAACACGAAATACGATTTTTTTGATTACTCTCCGATTGCGACGCGGGCCACAGATAATGAAGCGGCGGGTCACATGTGGCCCACGGGCCTGGGTTTGGACCACCCTGGTCTAGAAGCAGTGCGCGCTGCGCTTCAAAGATTGATGATCGCACTGCGAGATTTCCACAAACTTCAAGCCCGGAAATAAATTTATCGTCAAAGAAACTTGTGAAACATTGACTCTTTGAGGCATGAATGCAAAAAAAAAAATGTACAATTTGTGCAAAATAGATTTAAATATTTAACAAAAAGTCAGTCTTTCTGGTATTTGAATTTATATTTTTCTTGTGATTTTGCCGCTTCAAGAAAATCTTTGTTATTCTCTACAAGTAAATTTTAATTTTTTGCCAAAAGTTTGTTTCAAAATTGGTAATTCTTACGGAAGTATGACAATCGATGAACATTCGCTAACATAAAGAACTATCAGCGAGTCGTCTTAAGGTAGAACTGACTGAATAAGATGCACTAGCAGTGCTTTATAAACCTAAAACAAGAAACACAAAACAACGTTGTTTCAAACCGCTACTCTAATGACTAAATTTTTCAAGAAATCTCCAAATCTCATTGGCTTGGGTTCTTTGAAATTTCATGCTTTGAACGAAGCCCACACGCTTACATTGACTTCTATTTTAGGACGCCTTGGTTGTCAGTAAATTCTGGGACAACCGTAGCTCAGCACGGGACGCCAGAGGTCAATTCCGGGACGGTTAGTAGCCCTAAGTGTATATCGGACATTTTTCGTTGTGGAAGGGAGCATTTTTGTGTGGTGCTAATTATATGATTCAGCATAATGAATCATAGATAGAATCTCTTCCCTCATTCAAATCGCAATCATACCTCCCTGTTTTTAAAAAATAATACCTTTTTAGCGGTTTCTATGCGCCTTCTTTCGCTGTTGTATTTTTGTATTGTGAGAACGAATTCCCCTCATTAGAAAATCCTCTCATTGAAGCATGGTACAAAATATGTTTTTTGATATCACGATCTGGCGCAGCGGAGTAAGCCACATCGCCGAGTTCGGTTAAATTGAAAGTATACTTTTGGCGATTTTCATGCGCCCTCTGGATCATATTAATTTGGAGTTCATGCCTCAACTTATGGAAACGCGGTGAAGCAGATGTGCTTGACCGTATTCGCCTGATCCTTTTGTCAGCTTCCAAGTCGTAACATTTCCGCCACCAACTTCGCGGTTTCATTAAGTTTGATTATCTGAACAAGAAATCGACATATGCTTTCTCAACTCTGGTGATGCACCCTCACCGGTGCAATAAGAGTTGAATCCTCTCATAAATTTGTCAAAGTCATCTCCCCGAGAGAATCACGGAGGTGTCAGAAGGTTCATTTTTGTTTTGTTACTTATATCAATAATTTGCACAAGCTTTTTTTTCTCTATCTTCTGAATTCATCCACTACGCTAAAATCAGAAGTTCCTTGGCTCGACTTCGGCTTTATTTTTTTTATCAAATATCAAAAATACAACATGAAGTGAACAATAAAGACTCTAGCAGCACCTTCCCACACGAAACACAAAAATTAACATTGATCGTCACCGTACGTAGCAATAACCAAATAACAAAAACAAACAGGAAAACAAAAGGGTAAGCAGCACACGAAAAAATCCTATCACACCTGTGTTTCGAATATGTATGTAAAAATTTGTTTGTTGGGGTATTTTTTTAATGTGTCTAGAAAATTGTGGCTTTATATGTAGTTGCGAAGAAATTTTTCGGGCGGCCGTAACGTAATTGTACCGATTTGGCACACCTAAGGCGTATATGAAGATATTAAGCGGGCATCCTCGTCTGATGCCTCGTCAAATATCTATTTCTTTTGATAATATCTTTACGTCAACTCTACTTTTAATTCCAGTGTACATACTTTTGATTACGTTTAAAGCCCTATTTCCAAGTCCAATTTGATGTAATATTTTGAATAGAAAACTATGAGTTATCCTGTCCAATGCTTAGAGATTGTCTATTAATACTAATGTCTCGGGGATTTTATTCATTTTGCAATGTCTGACAATGGCATCTGTGCTGTTTGTTAATTTGATATCGGTTCGAGTTGCTTAACAAGTATTCTTGATAAAATTTTATAATCCATGTTTAACGTAGTACTGGGTCGCCAATTTTTGAGTAGTGTTCCATCGTCTTTTTTATAGATAAGTTCAACTTTATCTGTTGTTGCGGAATTTGGCCAAATTGAAGATAATATTGATTAATTGGGTGAAGTGCGTTTTGATCGAATTTCAAAAGGTAACATAAAACTCCTTGCTTAATTCATCAAGGCCTGGCAATTTGTTGTTGGGCATGCATTTGATGACAGTAGAGACTTCTTCCGTTACATTTCTTATTTATTCTTGACCGGCTCATTAGCGATAGGTCAAGGTTTTGGCTCAGCTCTGGCGTATCACTCTCCTTCCCCCACAGGTTCGTGTAAAAGTTCTCAACTGTTGATAAAATATCATCTTGGTCCGTGGCAACAGTTTGGTTGTTGGTCGTTAGTTTTTCAATTGTTGTTCCGAATGCTGATTATGTATTTTGAATCTTTGTATAGAGAGAGAGAGAGGTGTTGTTTCTCCAAGTTCCCTTACACTCTTAATGAAATAGGTGGGAATTCCCACCAACTTAATTGGTTCACAACGGTTTCTACTTTTTTCCACCCGTTTGGTAGGCGATTATCCTTTCCACCTTAACACATTCCCTCCCACGCTTGTAAAAATCCAAATCTTCCCCATAATTACACCAAGTTGATTGGAAGCGCCAACTACCCCAGACCTCGCCCTCTAACTAAGAAACACATTTACAGCATTCCAATTAAACAAAAACAAATTTTTAATATAATAGGAATTATTCGACAGAATAACCCGAAGCGAAAGTCACGAAAGAAAAAAGCTATATAGGGGATGACCCCCAAAAATGCAAACCATTAATTATTCGAAGGAATAATCCGAAAAGAACGTCACGAAAGAAAAAAGCTATACAGGAGGGGGGGGGGACCCCGAAAAATGCAATTCATAAATTTTTTGATTACTTACACAAAAATGGGTACAATCATTTAATTTTGTCCACACTTAAACTGTTCGTGTACGATTATGCAAAAAAGTTTTTGAAATTTATAACGTCTTGTTCAAAAGTTACGTTTTCTTTCAATAGGTTACAAATAAAATCCTTGGCATTAGAGACTTGCATCTGTCTTCAATGCCAAGGGCAACATTTAGAACATATTCTAGAAATAACAACCTCTGTAGATGCAGCAGATACGCCGCCATGAAACCCAAACTCTTTTTCTTGCCTTTTGGAATTACTAAATTGAAAACCCAATAGCAAGATATCATTTCTGCAATGGCTTCAACGTAATTAGAGCATTCTCGAATCTGGCAGCCATCAATCCAAACTGTTATCTGCTCATCTTCAGAATTCCGAACCACAATCACTGCATATGGAGCGCTTACACTCTAAAAAAAATGCAAAAATTGATTGGAGTTGTATACTTGTCCTTAGCATTGGGAAAAGGTTTGTTGAGTTTGTTAACTTTAACAAATTCAATAAAAAATATTTCAGGTTAAAGGCCGCTGCACACATGCCCGGCAGAACGGCATCCGATGGGGATTCCCCATTTGAACGCGTTGTGGCCGACGGCCCTACGGCTTGATTTCTGCGGTTCTAATACACACTATGTGTGTCAATAATCAAGGGGTAAAGTGACGCACGGTTGGATTTTCGACCGTGTTTTGTTAATTGTAATAGGAGTTTTTTTAGTTGGTTTATATGACACGATCATGATGGGATGTTTGCAAAGAGGCAATTAATGAGCCTACCATATGCGAGAATTCCCGTCCTAGATGTTTTGCTTAATCCTCAAACACGTTTCTTCCCTTTATAAAATCTATTCAACCGCGTTATTTTTGCCATGATTATAGAACCACCACCACTAACAAGTCAAAACAATGATTTCATGGCAGCCACACCTCTACCGAATACCCATCATCACTAATGCATTCTGCATTGCCACAGCCCAATCTTAATCTGCGGTGTTTGGTGCATCCATACCATAACGTAATTTAAACCGTGGCTTCTGAAGTGACCACATATATAAACATGTTAATAACTTTCTTAAAACCTATGAACAGGAGACTTAGCCTTCACATGTTGGCCAACCCCTGGAAATTAGCAATCCATCACTCAAATCATAATGATGACATGAATTTAAGAATTTCTGAGCCCATCTCCAAATACTATTCATTCAAAGTAATATTAATTAGCTACATACATCCAGTAGCCCATTTTCTTCAGAAAATACACAAAACAAGACAACATCACTGTTTCATTATTACATTTCCTATTTTATTTTGCCCAAAACGAATGAAAACGCCACATGAAAAGAATAACATTAAAAGCATGACTAAAATATAAGCCATAACTTTATCTTATTAAGTCCAATCTTCTTCATTATCTGGTATACAGACAAAATGTGTAGCTACTGGCCCTGTTCAGAAGCAAAAACCTCTACCACGATGTCACGAAACAACACAATGCTCATATCTTTCATGCATGCTTCCGCTTCAAGTAACGGTCTTGAACGTAACTGAGCTGCCACAAGATTGCCAAATGCTCAAATTTATCTAAATATCTAGTATTCTCCAGCTGCTGGGTGCTTTTTCTCAAAAAGTTCACCATCTCTGCCTGAAAATAATACATCAAATACTCTTAAAATCTTTCATTCCATCAAATTCTCAACTCCAACGACACTAATGTTGTTAGCTTTAATCTATTTACAGCGACAAGTGTATCAGCTTAAACAGAATCAGGAATACCCAAATTGATTTCTATATAACATGGACTAAACCTAAGCTAACTGATCTTTTGTCTACCTGTACTTCACTTCTATCTGATCTTTTTCTTTTTGCAAAGGTCCTGATTGAACTTCCATTCCACTTTTCTTTGTGGCACAAAGATGGACTTCCAAGGTCAAGTTGTATAGATTCTGCAGGAAATAAAAAAAGTTCTTTGTTTACTGTAATCAAGTGATCAAATAAGTGATTAGAGTACCATTCGATTATGAAAGAAATGAATGGAAAGTTTACATCGAAAACTGTAAAATAAAATAAAACCGGTTCGAACCCCCCTAAAAATAAAGCTCTGTGATATCTCTATGATTTATATAATCTACATTGAATTTATACATTCCAGATTCAAACAAGTTACTATTTTTAACGTGAAAAGTATAAATATATCATGTAATTAATAATTTCAAGTATACAGTGAATGGATATACCTGCACAATACTTCTACAGATTGTGCGCATAATACAAGCATTTCCATCATAAAAAGAGACCCTCTCAACTTATCGTTCTGATACTAGCTACAGAGCTGTTTAGTCCGCTTACCTTCACTAGTATTTTCAGTCAAACTCTCTATTGAGGTATCTTGCTCCATACAGGCTTGAGGCAAGTTATCTACGGTTCTGCAAAGAGTGATACTGAATAAAAAACATAAACTTGAATACATAAATACACTATTATCATTGAATTGAAATTACATTCCCAAACTAGTTTGAAATTTTTGAATGAACAAACAAATCAAGATGCTGCATCACAGAACATCCAGAGGTGCACAGAAGATATTAGTATAAAAAGTGCTATCGTATTTATTGTAGAAAACAATTGATTACATAACTCACTTTCTGTGTTTAATGAAGGGATCTAGAAATGACAATTGGTAATAGTACGGCCATTTTTCCAATTGTGATGCAGCTGACCCACTAGGAATTTTCTCTCTTTCTCTATGCTTCTTCCCATACGTTGTTCTCAAACTATTCCATCTAGTTTTGCAATGCTCAACTAAAAAAACGTGAGAATTGGTATGAAGTAATATAGTGACTTGTATGAATGGCATTACGAACAGTGTCTCATAGCTAACAAAATTCCAACATCAAATTATTTGGCATGGATTTTATTTCCAAAAACTCCAATTTTGTTTGCAATTATTAATCAAAATTTTTTGCCATCTGTTCAAGCATGATTAAAAGCTTAGACAATATGGAATCTATAATCACTACTGAAGTGGAAAAGCAGCAAACCTGAAGCTTCCACATCCATTGCCACGTCTTTCCACAGCTGGTCTGTTTTGATTCTGTTTTTGTAGTCAACATGGTACTGATTGTATAGAGGCTCTCTGCTTGAGATGCTGTCTATTAACCTTGCATTAAAATCCATATTTAGCTCCTAATTCAGTAACAAGTCTACAAGTAACCTGAAAAATTGAACGGCAACATTATTAACAGCATCCAAAAATCATTATTCATGTATTTCTCAATTCCATGAGTACATAAAATCATGACTTTATAAATGGATGAATGAGAACATCAAAAATCACACAAAAATTCAACAAGGTGGGAATATGGGGCTTCGAAAGAAATTACGGCAGATGAAACATTTTTCGTAATAATCACAATATCTTCATAAAAGATTAATAAACAAAAGAACTGTATTACAGCCAATTTACCAAAATACATACAACCTACTGATGGTGCTTTTAACAAAACAGTTTTATTTATTTCAACTAGTAGAATCCATTTTATCAATGATTCCACTGCCATGGTACAGCCCCTACGGACATAAAGAACTGGCACAGTCTATCTCTAAAAAAAGCTGCATTTCGGGAATAATTGTTTGAGCCGAAATGGTGCAAAGGAAACATATTCAAATTTGCTGGCAAGCTATTCCTCCAATTTCCTTCAGTCACTGTTCCAAGTGGGCCCATGCTGTCACCATAAACAGAAGTCTTCCCCTGCGGTTGCTGGAGGTAATTGTGCAGTACAACACAAGATTGTACAATTAGGGTGGAGATCAAAAACCTCACTTAACTTAAACCTAGATTAAGACTAATCTCGGATTAGTTAAACTCGGTTTAACTTCGAAAGTTAACCGGAGATCAAAAACCTAGTTTAGCGGTTACTTAACTAATCCTAGTTTAAGTCGGACGCCACGAGGCATTTCACCGAAACGTCGTGGCATGTTGCTCTTTGACCCTGTATTTCCATGGTGATGGCTTCGTGAACTGTCGTCTGCGACCCAAAGAGGTTATATAGTCGCTTTGCTACAGCTGAAGAGAGCCGATTAAGGAGTGTTTTTTTCAGCTACAGAACAGATCGCGCTAAAATAGGTATAAAGAAGGTCTGTACTTCAGGCAGGCGCGATCCTAAAACCTGTAAGACATGCAAACCTGCGTTTAAATATAAACGATATAAAATCGCCCATGAATGTTACTTTCTCTATTGCATTATTTTTACTAATTCAGTTTAGTAATGTTTTTTCACTTGTGTGAGTGAACAGGCACAAGCCTTTTTCTCGTGGTCCATGTCGGTGTTTCTTTTATTTTTATTCATGTTCTGTGTTGTAGACGTAAGAGCAAAATAAAATTATAATTGTACAAAATGAACGTAATTGATATTTTGGAAATGATAGACAGTGAGGAATTAGGCGAGGAGAGACAAGTGATTTCAAGGTCATATTTGAGAGACGTACAAGACCCATTCCAATTACTTAACGAGAATGAGTTTACACAACGGTACAGGTTTTCGAAAGACAGCGTGCTTATTTTACTCGATATTATAAAAAATGATACTGGAATGGTTGTCCGCAAGCATTCCCTCCCACCAATTCTTCAACTTCTCACCGCACTGCGTTTTTTCGCTTGTGGTCATTTTCAGATGACAGATGGCGACCTGATGGGAATGAGTCGACATACTGCTCGGAGATCTATCCATAGAGTTGCGACTTGTTTTGCCAAGCAGAAACGTAAATTTATTGATTTTTTGGGTCAAGATCTTTCCAAAGTTAAGCAAAATTTTTTCAATGTGGCTGGCTTTCCATCTGTCATTGGGGCGATTGACTGCACGCACGTGTCAATTCAGTCGCCAGAGGGTGAAGATGCAGAGGTGTTTCGTAACAGAAAAGGGTATTTTTCCATAAATGTACAGGCGATTTGCGATGCCAACCGAGTGATTACTAATATTGTGGCAAGATGGCCTGAATCCACTCATGACTCTAGGATTTTTGCCAACAGCATCATCCACGATAAATTAGAGAGAAATGAAGTTGATGGATATTTGTTGGGGGATAATGGCTACCCTTGTAAACCATATTTGTTTACCCCTCTCCTAAACCCTACAAGTGGCAAAGAAAATCGCTACAACAAGGCGCACATCCACACCAGAGCTAGGATTGAGCAGTGTTTCGGTATTCTGAAACAAAGATTTAGAGTCTTGCAGAGTGAAATGAGGACAAGGCTGGACAACACCCTAACCATTATAGTGGCAGTTGCTTGCTTGCATAATTTTGCCATGAAAACAAATCAGCCATTAGAACACGATCTTGCCATAGCTACAAGCGATGACACAGAACCAAGTCAACAAATACAGTCTTCCCAAGCAGGTCATCTTGCACGTGCAAACATTATTGACCAATACTTTTGATCTGTAGCTAGCTTAGCTTATAATAGGTAACATAAAAGGTGTTTCAAAAGTAAGTATACATTTTTTATTTCGATTTCTTTTTAGGTACTCCTCATAGAGCGTTCATTTCATCAGTAAACATAGTTATGGATAAGTAGTAAATTTAGGTATTGTTTGCATATTTATCAACACACAGAATGACAAATACGGTAGATTAACCGAAGGATTGAGGTGCAAACCTGCTGTTTGGCATATAAATCAGTTAAGCAAACTCAGCACCTCTTCAGCGAAGAATTTAGAAATAAATTCGGCTCAGAATGTTTTCCTCGGAGCGTCCACTCCTCGGTCTTCCTGATCTTTGTGCATCAACTACAAATCCAGTTTTCATAAATTTACAACAAATCGCATAAAATATTTGTGTTGAAGGAGATCAATAATTCCAAATTATCTGTTGAAGAGGCGCCGACTACGAATTACTAATTTATATGCTTCTTGCAAAACAGCAATTTTGAACCTCATTTCTTGGGTTAGTGTCTCCTTGTTGTAATTCCGTGGGTTAATAAAAATGCAAACAATACCTGTATTTTTCTACTTATCCATACTATGTTTCGTGAAGGAATCAACGCTCTATGAGGAGTACCTGAAAAGCAAATCAAAATTGAAAGTTTATACTTATTTTTAAGATACCCTATTTTTCATTGTGTACATGGTGTTGTTTTTAGTTATCCACCAGTTTGCACGTTCTCAGTTCATGTTTATTAAATATTTTGTCAAGTTTGTTCTGTTACCAGCTTTTTTTCTACATTTATGATTTCTTTCGTAATTTCCGAGGTATAGTTCAAGTCGATTTCACAATTTAGCCCCATATGTAATTGCGCAGCCAAAGCACTTCAAAATCAGATTATGTCACTATAGCATGTCAAAAAGCAAACCTTAAACACATCAATATTTGGAGGCCAGTTGTATCTAATCAGTAATACCTATGTCGCAAGAAACGCGACATCTATTGGGGTCCTGCAACGGTCCTACCTTAATATTGATGACAGTTTTAGATTATGACGAGAAGCCGAAACACTGTGGGATCCAAATTCATAAAAACTAGAAGGACGCAAAGTATGGGAAAACATATATCTCAGTACATCCACCAAAATAATTAACAATCTTGTTTTAATTAACCATTTTGCAACAAAAACAAATAAAACAATAAAATCCTTCATTCTAACTTAGCTATTTTTTTACGGTAATACTCCATTTTTATATCATGCTCTTCCCTTCTCATTTTCCTCTCCTCCGCCATTGCCTCCAACTTCTCTGTCAACACCCTTCTTCTCAAATCATCCATTGTGCTGCTACACTGTCTATCTAGATATAATGTTATGTTGCTACAACTAATATTTGCTGCCATTACGTGATATAAAAACTAAAAAACTGCTTTCAATTTTAATGCCTACCTGCCTTTAGGTCTGTACTAATATTCACAATAACAAAAGCTCAAATTAAATACTGCTTAAATTTTAAATACTACCGCTGTTCTGTTTATCTGAGTACATTGTAAAGTTGCTACTGCTGCGCTACTTAATCATGGGGTGATTTTGAAACATACATTGCAAAGCCGTGAACCTCCTAAACATGTGAATAAACTATAGACAAGATCTGAACAAACAGCGATAGCCTGTTGTGGGAATATGTTTTGAATCTGGATAGCAATTATCACTAGATCACCTGTACTCAATGTCTGCAAAACTGCTGATTCGTTACCTGAAAAACAGAAATCGAATTAAATACATTTCAATGTACTAGACCTCAAACTGTTAGTCAACCGTCAAAATTCAGTACCAAAAATCGCTTCTGCAATGAGACATGATATGAGTGCTCCATGAGTAAAGCTTTAAGTTATAAGTAGCAAGAGCAAGTTTCTCATTCATGCAGATATTGATTGAATGACCCACAAGTCTTCGTTTCATAATAAAAATTTTAACCCATTCATAAAAAAGGTTTGCCATCATAGTTCATTACACTTTGTCAAATCCAGCTTTGTCTGATATGGAGTGTCTGAGTAATCTTTTTTAATTGAACTTACCATCTGAGAAAGATGAAGATTCCTCAGCTACTGAAACAAGTGTGTCTGAAAAAAATGGGAATTCCGATCACACCATGTCATCAGTTAAACTGCAGATAGTGATGAAACAAATGAAGAATTAGTTTTAGGCGATGAATATATGTGTATTGCATGTATTATTACAAAATGATTTTATATCTGCTCATTAAGATTCCATTACATTTGCACCCACAGACATTTACACCCGTAATTTGAACCCACGACAATTCAGCTGCATACTATTGCACTTATGGAAATTAGTTTCTTTTACGGATATTTGAACTCATACTAACCCTAACCCATGGGTTATAGCACCCGCATATAGATTGAACTTGTGGATTTACGGGTGCAAATGTACGGTCACCGCTCATTAATATTGTAAAAGGCTGGTTGATAAAATTATGAATACCAGTATTATTAAATTTATGTGAAAGCTATAAATACCGAATCCTCTGTAATAAGTCGTTAAATTTGCACACGTACGCGAAATACATTTCATGAATACAGGAGAAGAAAGCAAAACTGGTATTTCTGGGTTAGAAGAAGCATGAAAAACCACTATATTGTGGTGCCACATCACTTTAATGCCACCAATTACAAGCAGTAAATGCTGTTAATAACATACATGTTTGTTCTTCGAGCGAGCTTTCAATTTGATTGTCATCATCGAAGTTGTTCGCAAGGCAATTTATTTGTCTAGGAATGAGAGCTGAAAAAAAAAGGTGAAAATTAACATTTCAATACCAAATAGAGACAATTACTACGATTATTTACATATCCTAAATAATCAGTATGTGAATTCCATAATATGTATTCATAATAACACACTTCATATGTTGCATCACTTTGCGTACGCCATATTTGGAACACACCTACAGCAAATAACATACCCTCAACTTTCTCGCTGAGTTCATCGGTGGGTACACCAGGCCCACCTCCTGTCTGCCTCAAATGGCGTTTGCGTTGGGCATTGTCTTGCTTTGCTTTGTTTTTGATGTTTTTCCACGCATCCTTCAGATTTTTTTCAGTTCGGCGACACAAGGTGCCAGTTGCATTGAATTTGGCTTCGATTTGCTTCCAAGCCAAATTCTTTTGCACAACTGACACCTTGTCCGTTCTTTTTGACTCCACTTGGGGATGTTCGCTAATTATCTGGACAAGGAGCTGCTTTTCGCTATTGACAAAATTCGCTGACCTAGCCATTACTTTACTGCTTTATGGATAAATTATCGATTATTAGACACTGTAATGAATACAGGAATAAGAATATTATTTTCTGTATTTTGATAAACTATACCGGTACTGGTACAACCTAAGCCAAAATGAATCTTCAAAAAAACTGCTACAAAAATAAAGAAACACAATAGGCTACTTATACAAATACAAAAATATATTAATACGCCAAGAACGGTACCGTACCGAACGTCGTCTATTTACCTACCTTACTGGTTTTGTTATAGTAGTATAGCCCAATTCCACGTTGTAAAAAATTTTGTTCGGCTATAGTACAGTAGTACGTACCGACTGTACGGTACCGGTACCAGTACAGCCGCAGTCTACAGCAGTTACGGTACCGGTACCACCGCAAATGCTGCATATCGCAGCCTCGTAGTACCAATATACAATTATTTTTTCGTCGTGACGCTTGCACAGAGTTCCCTGCTACACATTCTGTCGCCACTGAATACAATATAGATTGTACGGTAAGGTAAGCCATCCAACACGACAAGCGCCGCAATCCAAAAGCACTCGACAAACCGAGTTAAACCACTTCCAGACCAGGTTTAAATAAGCGCCGATTTTAAGTCGAGATTTACGTCACAGAAAGTTAAACCACCTTTTTGATCCGGACTTAAACCGCCGATTCAAAGTTAAACTCCGATTCGAGGTTAAACTACCTTTTTGATCTCCACCCTTAATGTGGCCAATTCTGGATCACAGTTTATAGTTTTGAAAAAAACCTGCCAACGAGCAGCTAGAATCCCAAAAGTGTTTTCCACAATCCTCCTAGCCCTGCTCAACCGATAATTGAAAATTTTCTGACTCCTATCCAGTGCACGACCAGGATAAGGCTTCATAATTCCAATTTTCAACGGGAAAGCATCATCTGCAGCAAAATATAATGGGATGGATTCACTAGTGCCAGGCAGAGTCTGTTGGCCAGGAATATTGAGGATGGATTGATCAAATCCTTTTCCCAATCGTGAGTTTGAAAAAACTCCACCATCACTGTGTCTACCAGAATTACCAATGTCGACAATAACAAACCTATATTGCGCATCACAGACGGCCAAAAGAACAATTGAAAAGTAACCCTTATAATTATAGAATTCACTGCCACTATTTGGAGGGCATTTTATTCGCACATGCTTCCCATCAAGAGCCCCAATGCAATTTGGACACTGCCATCTAAAATTAAATTCCTTCGCTATCTCCAACCATTTTTTGGGACTGGGTGGAGGCATAACTTCATTAACAAGTTCTTTCCACAGAGCAGACATTGTTTCTCTGAGAATTGTCCCAACAGTTGAGTGGCCGATTCGGAATGAAAATGCAAGATCCAACTGAGAAGCACCAGTGGCCAGATATCTGTAAGAAAAAACAATATTCAATCATGCGGTAAAAATACAAATTCATCGGTAAAGCAAATTCATTGTCTCATTGCATATATAAATCCTAATCAACGAAAAGACACAAAATTATTAGAACTCGTCATCAAGCAGTTTGTGCCCTGCATATTTGTGCCAAATTTGAAGCAGGTATCAATGGATATCACAGTGAATTAGGTCATATCAACTGAAATATGAATAATTTTGTTGTAATATCCAGTGGAAACAGAAATTATGATACTTGAATTATTAGAACAACTATTCAAATGATACCTCATATTATATAATACTAACCGAATAGTCAATATTAGCCTTCGCTTGGCTGGTATGGCACTTCGCCAAAATGTGTCTTTTTTGCTGATTAGCGATTCAACTTTATTGAGCAAATATTCAAATTGATACTTTTGCATACGAAAATACTGATGGCATTTTTCTTCGTCAGGAGATTCCAAAATTTCTTCTGCTAATAAGAATTCAGACTTATCACTTCCATGTAGAATCAGGTCATGGACCCACATTTCCCTGTTATAGAACATACAAATTTAGTACGACTCCTATAATTGTATTTGTATGCAGATTAAAAATGATGGGTATGCTAGCATGGTATCTGACAACGAAAATACCGTAATTGAGAATTTTAACGATAATCAGTAGTTAATTTTTACTATACTAAAATACCGGTACAGCTTTATAAATCTCAATTGCCGATTTTTTGATTCAAGCTGAATCTCAAAATTGCACAAAACCAGGGTGTTGTGCGAAAGAATGTTTGCATGTCAATATACGGTACCTACCGTACCAGTAAATAGTGAACTAAGTACCGGTACCGGTAATCTCTGCATATCTGTAGTCTAGATACCGGTACCGTACTGTATGGCACCGGTAGGTTCCGGTACCGTACCGGTATGCTACTCACCTGGTAGGCCAAATGTCTTGATACAACGTATACATCACCGTCGTTTTAGAGATGAGTCTCGAGATTTGATTACCAATGGGATCCATTTTCTGTATATTTTCCTTGCTGACCGCTGGTTGGTATAATAAAATTGGGCCTAGCGCAACAATGAAATCGATTCGAAATGGTCCTGTATTAATAGCCTACCGGTACGTTCAGGAATCAGTACGTTAGTTTATCACGTAGGCTAGACTTGCAACTTAGACCAATTATATCAAGAAACCGCACCACACAGACACAGGTTACCACTAAATACTGCAGAAGCTAGCGCATGTTTGCCACGGCAATGCGATAAAGTCAAGCATGCTTCTACTCCGTCGTAGAGCCGTAGCAGCGAGAAAATCAACCGCGCGATTATCTCGATCTGCTGAGTCATGCGCAGAATCGGTGATGTGTGTATCACACCCGGTAGCAGCCGGACGAACTTGCCGTGAGCTGTCGTAGACGAGCCGTAGCCGTGCATGTGTGCATCCCCCTTAATTCTTAAAACTATTGAAAAATGGCAAGAAATACCTTTTCTAATACTAGCTCATCTTCATTCCATAGGAAGGGCAATGTCATAAGCCATTTCTCGAATCTGACAGCCACCAATCCAAACCGTTATCTGCTCATCTTCATATGGAGTGCTTACACTCTACAAATACAGAAAAAATTGATTAGAATTGTACTTGTCTAGCAGTGGGAAAAGGCTTGTTGAATTTGTTAACTTCAACAAATTCAATAAGTAATATTTCAGGGCAATTCTTAAAACTATTGAAAAATGGCAAGAAAAACTATTTCTAATACTAGCTCATCTTCATTCCATAGGGAGGGCAATGTCATAAGCCAGCAGATTTCTTCTTCATCTGAAACAAAAACCAAATTACTATTAAATGATACTGCCGGGATGACATATAAGACTAGTAAAAATATTCGCAAAGATATTATGAACATGTTTGCCCATCCTAAATATTCATAGCACATTTTACACGCTGTCATATGACAAATGTTGTTTTATTTTAATTTTGTAAGAATGTGCTCAATCACTTTACCATATGTTATTGGAGTCATAAATGTGTGTCATTGGACTAGAGCTAATATCTGAAGCCCGGCCGGATCCAAAATTTCGGGTCGGGTCGGGCTCGAAATGTCAATCATTGCGTTTGGGTCGGGCTTCTCCACCGCTGGCTTTTTTGTAAATAAATATATGTTTATAAAAAATATATACTAAAACTATGCGTAGATACTAAACTAAAGAATACGGTACTTGTTATAAAAGAAATAATTTGAATAAAACAGAGAAGAAGCTGTAATGGACTGTAATTCATCGCATACAACAATCTGTTTTTTAAAAGTAACGGTAAATTTTTTTAGCCTAGTCTATCACAGCAATTTCTAATGGGACATTTGACACACATTTTTCAAAGCCTCTTAAGGGGAATATGTGTGTCGCTAGGGAATTTCTTAGTTTCCCAGTAAGACTGCAGTTACCTCTCCATTAGCTTCGGATTGTCAGATGAATGCGCAGATTATAGAACTACAAAGCAACATTGTCCCAACATTCCTCTATACTGTACTTAAACTTTTGCAATGACGATTCGAAGAACTCCTAAATAAAATTTTGTTTGCTTCGGGCTCGGGTCGGGCCTGCAAATCCAGTTAATTAGTCGGGGTCGGGTTTTAATACCCACGGGCCCGGGTCGGGATTATTTGGCCCGCTCTTACCTCTACATTTGACTTGTATACAATATGCAAAAAAGAAAAAACTCACCTATTAGTCGTTTGACCAAGCTCGGTATCTTCTTCCATTTTCCCAACGACAATTTTTTTAAGACGGCGAATGACTGCTACCGTATTCTCTAATGAGAGTTGCTCAACGATGTCCACGTTACACAACATGTTCGTCTCCTCAAGTATCTATAACATTTACAAATTGAGGCCTCAATGATCTTATTTATTTGCTGCTGATAGATGCCAACAAAAAAGGCATCTGATAGAATAAATCGAAAAACTGAATAAAAATATGTAAGACCCTCATAAACGAAACATAAAGAAAAACTGCACAAGCCTAGTTTGTTAAAGATTTGAACAAAATTTCTGAAAAAACCAACCTATTCGAAAGTGCAAGACAAGGATAATCTCCAAGTACATCACATGCTGACTTGCCATGAACAATGTCCAGCCGTCTCCTATTTGAGCAACGCACCATTCTATCACGGGTGACATCATCTGATGTCTTCTTTTTCAATTCTTCTGCTATTATTTTTTATGCTTATCGATGCTGTGATCATCTTCAGTGTCACCAACAACCTAAAAGTTATGGGCTTTGAGTCATTAACTATGCATAGCATGCTATGTTGGTTTAGTAAGCAGGTTTTATATTGCCAGGGCTATTCCTTGTATCAAAAAGGTTGACTTAGAGCCTACCCGCACATTCAGTAATTACGTTATATACAATAATCTGCAATGTAAGAAAATATATTGAAAGCGCTCATTCATATATATGCCTACCCTGGAATACAGTTACACAGACTAACTCAGGGTTGGGCAAATTACGGCCCGCGGGCCGGATCCGGCCCACTGAAGTGTTTCATCCGGCCCACTTGTTCCTGCTGAAATTATGACTATAGTTTTCATGGATATAAGTTTCCGTTGTAATCGTCCCCGATCGAGGAATTGACAAAAGAGTATTTTTCATGGACACTGGTCAATCAAAAGCTGCCTGGTTAATTTGTAATGAAACGTGTGCAAACAACAAGAAAATCTGTTGAATACGGCAAATACATTCAAATATTTCTCAATCGCTTTAGACGAGAGCACAGATTTCTCAATCCCATGTGATGATGAAAAGGTCGCTAATGAGTTACAGGTGGAACTCGTAAATCTCCTAACAAACAAGCTGACAATGCTTTGAAAAGCAGTGTTGAAGAGAAGTCATTGATTGAGTTTCATCAATCACTTCACCCATAAAAATGAAAAAATAACAAAGATTTTGCAAGAGAAATGATTGTGGTGTTTGCATCAACATACATATGCGAGCAAACCTTCTGTATGAAGATCAACGAAAACAGATCTCTTCTAACGGATAAAAATCTACAATCAGTCTTACGAATCAGCACAAGTAGCTTCGAGCCTGATTCAGTGTGGAGATCAAAAAGGTAGTTTAACCTCGAATCGAAGTTTAACTTTGGATCGGTGGTTTAACTTTCTGTGACGTATATCTCGACTTGAAATCAGCAATTTTTTTAAACCTGGGGTGGAGGTGGTTTAACTCGGTTTGTCAAGTGCATTTGGATTGCGGCGCTTGTCGTGTTGGATGTTATCGCTTACCGTACAATCTATATTGTATTCTGGGGCGACAAAAGGAGTAGCAGGGAGCATTGTACAAGCGTCAAGACGAATAAATAATTGTATACCTGTACCACGAGGCTGCGATATGTAGCATTTACGGTGGTACCGGTACCTGTGCTGTACCTACCGTACTGCGCGGCGCAGTACGGTAGGTATTATTGTCTGCGCCCGAACAAAATTATTTACAACGTGGAATTGAGCTATACTATAATAAATTTAGCAATGTAAATACATACCTGGCGTATTGATATATTTCTGTATTTGCGTTTTTTTAATTTTCTTAGCAGTTCTTGTGAAGATTTATTTTTGCTTAGATTGTAGACTACAGTTGTACCAGTAATCTTTTGCTATACCGGTATGGGTTCTTGTCATAAACAGACATAGGGCCCAGTATTTTAGTATAGTTTCGTTGGTAAGCATTTGCGCAGTGGTACCGTCGAACAGATACTCCTAGTCCTAATACGGTAATATAAACTTCAAAATGTTTTAACAAAAATGATATATTTTCAAATATTTAGATCTACCAGTGCCCAAAAGATTCCTTTTGCTGATATTTTGTGTATGAGCAGAACAGATTTACCTACGATATCCATGTATCACTACTGCACTGTGCCCCGGTGTATGTATTTTGTCATCGGCTAATTCACAAGTCTGCAAGTTCCCGAAGTTGGATAAAAAAAATAGGCAAGAAGCGAATAGATAGCAGAAGGTTTGCTGGATATTTTGATATACACCAATGTAAAATCATATTGCATGTTATTGGTATGCTGTATGCACAGATGTACGATATTTATGGTATTAATGATTCTGACACTTGATATATAAAACTAGAATATTGTAGTACCATGCCCATGAATTTCACCAAATGCTAGAATGCAGGAATAAGTATTGATAACTATATATTGCCAATAACTTATCATGAATGCAATGGTTCCATTGTTTTCTGATTTTTCATTTATTTCTACAGCTGTTTCAAGTCAAGTAAACTGTCTGAGTGCCATGATGGTGATCAATTTCATCAGCTCTATTGGAAGAACAAATTTGTGAGTTTGTCACTATTTAAATGCCATATTATTTGTATTTAAACTGTCCTAAATTTATGTTCGCAATTTTCAGTAAAAATAGGAATATCAGCCTCTTTAGTATCAGCTGTTAAATGTGTATTTTTCGTATAATGTGAGGATACTTTTATCAACCAAATGCTTCAGGTACATTTCTTATTGGTATTGTCACAGATCTGTTCAAGTAACCGAGATGTGACAAACTTTTCAAAATCATTCCCATTAGTCATTCCTTGTTACATGCAGGCAAAACTAGTTTCACATGATTTCAGAGTAGAGCAAAGTTGTTCGACATGCAATCACAATCGAAGACAAAAGAGCCTTCATTTAATGTCTGAAAACTAAAAATACCCTACTGTTTTACTTTTCCAAATTCATATAATTAAATATACATTGGATTTTATGTAATTCAAAAATATCATTTCAGAATACAAAAAAATCTGTACAAATTTGAATACAAATTATTCGGTTTCAGTCATTGCCTAGGTCGAATTTGCTTTTTTAATATCTAGCGCACTTCATCAATATACTATCTTTAACCCTGTATTTTTATTTATATTGTTCAGGTCATGAAGACAAATAACTGTTGTGGATAGGATTATAGTTAAAGTGTTGTCAAGTCTAGGTTGCAGCAGTGCTTTATTCTACGCCTTCGTGTC